TCATATCAAGGGCATCTTTCCTTAAAGACCTTAAATATCAAATCGGATAAAATATATATTTGGTAGCTACAGCTACCGAGTTTCACTAAACTTCTTAAGATCGGATGAAACATATATATGGAAGCGATATCTTAATCTGAGCCGTTTATGTAATTACATTTACAGACGAACGGATGGACATTCAAAAAATAGACTAAGAATGTATGCAGATCATTATCGTTTATTTCAGAATGACACAAAGAAATGCACATAATATCACCCTTATAATAATATGTAATGAATGGCGGCACAGAGTGAGCACGTTTGACTACAAAACCTAAGGACTATGGTTCGAATTTTCATGACAGCAAATACACTAAAAAGGAGGTACGAAGAGAAAAAAAATCATATTGTTAACAACCAATTAATGTCCGTTAAACTTGGATTGTTCGGGTGTTTAATTCGTATATGCTCTATTGCAATAACATCAAAATAAATTCAATTTTATAAAAAATAACCCCTTTCAAGCCATCATTAAACACTAAATATGTAGATTAGCCGTTTGACCAACGGCGTGTCCCATAGTAGTGTCTCCGTCATTAAGATCATCTCGAAAGAGAAAAGCACAACTTTCACAACGTTCTAAAGAATAACAATTTTCATATACCCTTAGTTCATACTTTTGTTAATTTATTCGGAAATCGTTGAGATTATTAAGTACATGCTCAAGGTGTGTCTCCCTTTCCATTTACCTCAATTTTTTTATTTTCTTGCACAATATTTTCATGTTACCCCTCTCATCAGTTGTCCGAGTCATAACCGTGGCGTTGAAATCTCTCTATGGAAATAAAAAAATGCGAATCGGTAGAAATCCCATGCACAACTTAATTATGTAGGAACATTCCATAAACTTGATGCTAAATTATGCATAAATCCTATAAATAATAAAAAACAAACACTTAGCTCGTATTCTTAAGTCAATTGCCAAAAATTGCTCATATTTTTGGGATTCCTTGTAATGGCAGAATTGGGAAAAAGTAAACGAGCAAAAATAACCCTTTGAATGCCAACGACTCTGCTCGTGCAGAAAAAAAATTATTTCTTAAATTATGCATATTACAGTACATATTTTTTTCCATTACTTGCCTCCAAACGGAGAACATACCAGCATTTCGCCGGAGTGGGGAGTGAAGGCAGCGATTTGACTTGCAGACTCTTGAGGGTTGTTATTGTGTTTTTATAAATAATTCTTATTTACAAAACAAATGTCGACTGATGATATAGAATTTATTGATGTTGATATGAACTTGTATTGTATTCAACGAAACGAGGTATTTTGGCAATTGTGATGAAAATATGGCCAAGGAAGTTGTCTACAACATTGAAGACATCCATCGCTATGTATAGCATTAAAATAATTATGAACAAAGAAACATATAAAACAAGTACAAACGCGTTAAGTTTGGCCCTACACCATCAGGTGAAGAAAACATTTAAAAATAAAAAGTAAAAAAGCTCTAAGTTCGGCCAGGCCGAACTTTGAATACCCTCCACCATTTGGTACAAATTTTACAATTTTTAAAAAAATTAAATCCGTTAAAAATTCTGTTAAAATCTTAAAAATATCGACGGTGCCCGATACATTACGGTCTATACGACGACGTGGACCTGAATAGGCAACTTTTGTCATTGAAATGCGAAACTTGAAAAAAATCTGTTCATAATGTAGCTAAAGTCATCAAATTACCGAATATAGAAGGTACCATGGGGTTATAAAACGTGGACCTGCACAGACAATTTTTTGACATAGGCTGTAGTATCCATTACGAACTTCAAATACAAAATTTGAAATAATTCCCGTAAATAATGTCTCTAAAATCATCACAATACCCAATATCGGGAGGTACCGTTATATGGGGGCCATACGAAGACGTAAACCTACATGGGGGCTGTACGAAGACGTGGACCTGCACAAACAATTTTCTGTAATAGGCTGTAGTATCCACTACAAATTTCAAATACCAAATTTGAAATAGTTCCGGTAAATAATGTCGCTAAAATCATCAAAATACCGAATATCGGGAGGTACCATTATATGGGGGCTATATGAAGACTTGGACCTGACATGGACCATTTTCTGTCTTAGGCTGTAGTATCCACTACGAACTTCAAATATCAATTCTGAAACAATTCCGGTAAATAGTGTGGCTAAAATCATCAAAATATCGAATATCGGGAGGTACCGCTATTGGGGGCTATACGAAGTCGTGGACCTACATTACCCATTTTCAATACCAAAAGACCTGCAGACATAACATACATTTGAGTAAAATTTTATTAATCTACTTCAATTCGTTCGTATACAAATATCGGAATTGAATATGGGGTCTACTTCTATTTTGCCAGTGAAATCGGTTAGTAAGAAGTCTCCAAAATAAGGTAAAGTCAGTGGTTTGTCAACTTAAAAACAATCTTTTAAAAAATGTGTCTAAAATCACCAAATGTTTGGATATAACGTTGTAAAAGTAATATAAGCAGTCTTCTGTCACAGATGCAAGCCTTCATAAAATCGTCAGAATACCGAGTATCGGGAAATAAAAACATATGAACCTATATAGACAATGATCTGCCATAATCTGGAGGTATAACCGGTTACGAACTTTAAGAAACGAATTTCAAACAATTCCTTTTGAAAATGTGACTTAAATCATCCAAATACCGAATATCGAGAGGTACTGTTATAAGGGGAAAATGGTCCATTTACGTTTAGTTCGTAAACAAAATACACATGTTTTCAAAATTTTAACCTTATATTTCAATTCGTTCGAAAGAGTTATTACAAAAGACTGACAGACAGACATCACAAAATCGACATAAAAATGTGCTGTGATTAAGAGTATAGAGCATATATAGTATTGGGCTAATATGAATATACTGATATGCGAGAACGTGGACCAACATACAAAATGTTCTGCCAGAAGGAATCAGAAATACCGAATTACAAACCACAAATATCGAATTCAAGACAATATCAAAAACTGTATGTTAGATCATCAAAATACCTTATTGCGCCAGTTAGTATTATATATATTCTATGTGAAAAAAGGACCTATATTAAAAAATATAGGTTTTTTGCCTTTTTTTTTTAAACTCTCTACAATCCACATCTCCCATTACGTTTCATTGTTAGCGAAGCTTTCTATTCTGAAAATTCTATTTAAAAAAATCCTAATTCCTCAACGCGTATTACTTTTTCTCATGCCTATCGAGTTCGGTAGGAAATTGATTTATATTATTCGAAAAAGAAAACAGCATTTAACAATTACCAAAAAAACACAGGAAGTATTTCCTTAAAGCTAATGGTCCTATCATCCTTGGCTTTGACGTGTGACGAATGTTCGCCACCTCCAGCAGTATTTCATGAATCGATCACTCAAATGTCTATCAAGTCAAAGCAGCAGCTTTTGAATATTCTATTGTAATTGTATTGGAGTATTGGAGCTTTGTGTTCTTTAATTTCTCCTGGGAGTAGTTAAAAGGATAAATTGTCTCCACATTCAGAAGCGTAAGCATGTGAATAGGTCGTGGGCAACTGGAGAGGTGAATCGATGTTGATCGATTTTTTTCTTTTTCTCTACTTTTACATTTGCATACACATATTTATTTATACATAAACAAACACACATATTTTTGTTATTGTATGCCTTTGTATTGGTTCCCCTTGAATGTTGTTGTTATCCAAATGTTGTTGATTTGTGAATTGCTGTTACGACTGTGTCGTCTGTTATTCTATAAACTCATCCGCTATTCATAACACTTTTCCACTTCCCCACTACACGCACGTGCTCCAAATGCTCCCCATGTTTACATACACACACACATTTGATGCGAACATATTTGGATACAAAATTTTGAAACATACATACGTACATATGTTTGACTGTGCACATTCATGTTCAAGGATTTGTCTTATTGTTATACAAATACACAGTCTTCAGTGATATTTGACAATTTCAACAAAAACACAACAACAACAATTGTCCAGGGTGGGGGTGAGACCATCAAGGGATAATTCTAAAAAAGAATAAACAAATCCGAATCGAAAAGTTTACGCTTCAGTAAATGTAAATAAAAGATGTGTTTTTCGATTTGCCTTAACAGCACTTTTGAATGGCGCACAAAGAGGACGAGTAAAAATTCGATGTCGGATAGAATGTCATAATAAAATTAAAAAGAAAAAAAAGAAAAACAAGTCTCACAAGTGTTTAGAAATATACAACTTTTTTCTTCCAATAAAATTCATACTTCATTCGTATTGTCTTTGGCATGTCCAAAGAAAACTCAAAATTATGAAAGGACCCAAAGTCATAATCAGTTTTCTCCTTTTCCACAACAGACTCAGAGAAGAGACACACTAACACATCATTTCTGACAGACATTGACATCATCAATGGGCTCATCATTGTCATTCAGCAACTGCCATAAAACCAGCCTCAATAGGAGTAGAACGATAATGTTCATTCGAATTTGCCGGACGATTTATAAGAAGCTTACCATATTTCCTTGAACGTTTTTCGGACTTCCTCTTATTAAAAGTTTCTTCGTTCCCATCATTGGTTGGCATTCATTTGGAATTTGTGATAGAGAGTTTGGAACTAACGCCCCACAAGGCCAAGACGTGTGTGTGTGTGTGTGTACGTGTGTGTGTGTGTGTGATTCTAGCTGTCCTGCCGGTCTTTGTGGTGATTGAGATGCTGTTTGCTTATTGTTATAAATATCAGACACTTGGCAACCGATAGGAAAGTCAAATGCTTTGAAATATAAACTTCTTGGCAATGAGGCAAGACACAATCCCTGAGTATTAAGTATTACCTGTTTAATTTAAATATTGTTGGAAACTATTAACAACTATAGATTATTTTTATACAGAAAATATTTCAGGAAATTCATGGGAAACCATCACTTAAATTATGTACATTGGAAGTGACATTCAAAAATATTTTCATTTTCTTTCTTTCCAGGTCTTCTCTTAATCCGTTTGTGTTTTAAGCATAATTTTGGATAATATACGGTAAGAGCATATATTTATATATATGCGTGTTATTTTTAAATACTTTCAAAAAAATATTTAAAACTGGAGCGATACACATTTCACAAACACACTGAAAATATTGACATACACCAGAAAAATGGTAAAAATCTTGCAGTTTAAGTTCGCAAACTAGAGCATTTTTGTGTAGTCGTGAAGCAACGCAAACAGAAATTGGGGGGAATTCTTGAATTAGTTATGTGAAGAATAAAACCAGTGCGCGTTCACAATAACAACTACCCAAAATGTTGGGGAAAACCCTATGTTTGTCCATATCTCATCGCTTTTCGTCAGACTATCGCATTCCAAAAGCGTCATTGATTTCTCAGGAACTTAAGCAAGCCCACATGTTTATGGCCGCAGTTGGATGGTATTAATCTGGACAGCGTTTACTTTCAACAAGTGGGTCCATATGACACACAAACAACGAACCAATGCTCTCCTCTGGGAAGGTGATCAGAATTGGCAACCAAGATCTTGTGATCTTGAGATTTCTTCCTTTGGAGCCGCGAGAAAGGAATCAGAACTATTTCGGTTAAAGATTAAATTCTTTCTCTTCTGTAAGCGAGGTTGGGGTGGACATTTGTCTGATATTGCTTTTCATTATAACCGACATTCCTCCATCTTTGTTATGAAACAAACATCCTCAAAAAGGGGTTCGATTTCTGAATACCAAAAATAAATCGTCTTATTAGGATACCTTTTATTTATATTAAAAAATCCTTTTAAAATAAGATTTTGGTGTCGGTGTGGTAGTTCCAGTGTCTTTATTGGATATCAATGCATTTGTAAATAATTCCATATTTCGAAATGTCCTACAAATGTCCATTATCAATTTGTTCCCAATATTCTTTTACTGCAACGATGCCATCAATATTCCCAATTCCCTTTTCAAAATGTGTTGAAAAATATGACCAACTGGGTATTGCATCTTCCGTGAATGTGTAACTACAGCTTGAAGGAAGTGTGCACTTTTCGAATCCTTATTCGTACAGAATATAAAACTAACAATGAAATAATGTAAAAGTGTAAATTTAGAAAAAGAAAACAAAAGTGAAGACATTGGCCACCACACAAATATTACTTAAGTTTGCCATAAAATCTCCAGACACCTTTGAATAAATTTACTTGTTTGAGATGTTCGTATCAGAGTTTTGGCGAACTCGGGGCTGTTAGTTCAGATATCAAAGGGGCGCCAAGACAATAAGATAGGGTTCAGTATGTTCAATTGCCAAAAAACGTTTCAATTCGATAGGTAGCTTGCCCAATGTTTTGTTTTGTATATTTAAAATATACGCTCTGTGAGTCTTAAAACTTACATAAGACAACAGACACCGTTGTTGCAAAATGGTGGAACTTAATACAATTCATGTAATTTTTATAAAAAAAATCTTGGTGGAGAAAAAATTACGTTCACTACTAATGTACTAATGTATGGGTTCAAAGGTAAACATGGACCAATATAGACAATGCTCGGACACCCGAGATAGAACCTATTGCGAACTACCAATACCAAATTCGGAACAATTCCGTAGAAAAATGCAGTTAAGGTCGAGAAAAATTCCGAATATCGGGTGGTAAAGTTATATGGGGGCTATGCGAAAAAATAGACCGGTACAATTCATTTTTAATACCTATCAATCTACACTACTATGGTAAAGCTCTACTGCACATAATATTGATTTAAACGGAAATTGACACCTTAAATTGACTTGGAATTTTATGCTTATGTCGTATATAAATATACTATATGGTGTATCTGAAAATTTCGAAAGCCAGGATATATAATGACGTCGTTGCAATACCAAAAAGTGTATCGACATGTAATAAATTTTGAAATTACACACTGAAATACCAAAATGTCAAACAATAGCTGATTTGGTTGGAAATTGGGGCGGAAACCTTTCAAATAACGTAAATCGGAAAATAAATGTGGACCGATATAGCCCATTTTCAATGTCAAACTTTTTAGGAACAAAACCAACATCTATTTCGAATTTCGTTTATTTATGGTGAAAATACTGAGCTCTATCTTAACCTCAACAAACCGACAGACGGGCAGACGGACATTGTTATGTCGACTTTGAATTTTATGCTGATCACGAATGTATGTGTTTTAAGTCGAACATTTCGAGGGGATCCAAACGGAATGACAAAGTTAATATATCCCCCATCTTATAGTGGAGGGTATACTTATTTTAAAATATTAAATATGTAGCTAATGCCAAAAAAAAAACTGCTCAACTTCAAATTAACATTGCCAAAAAAAATTTGAAAAATAAACAAAATTCAAATAAACACAGAGTACTTTAATTGACATATTTTAGATAAGGTCGTCAATCGTTCTGATCTTTCAGAATTGTACTGTACACATTTAAAGGCCCACAATCCAATGGAGCCTCCGAAAATCAGCTATTTCTGGAATTCAATTTCTAACCCCAGTATATTTTTTTATATGTGGAATATTGGAGATGACTTTGCTGCACACTGCTTTACTTCTGCTTTAGAGAGCTTTGACTCTTCCATCTCTTAATGCAGCACTTTGTATTGCAGTGTGTATGTATATGTGTGCCTTCATACTCGACTACGAACGTTATGCAACTATGTTTATAGTGGCATGTACGAGTATGTGTGTTGTGTTACTTGTATGTGTGTATGTGTTTGTTTAGATAAGATATGGGACCACTTTGGTCGTTGACAAATACCTTTTGGGAAACATGTGCAACATAAATACAATCAGGTGGCACAGCCAACAGGATGTGGACAGTCATGAAGATTTGTGCGACCTGAAGTAAAAAGTGTTGCAAAAGTTCACATACACATACACAGAGTAATATGGCGAGTTATAAGCATCGTGTTGAACGAAATAGGTATTAAGTCGATTCCCCGTGATATGAATGTGCGTTAAAAACTTTAAATGGCCATTGGATTTTACTTTTAGTTAACAAAAAAAACAAACAAAACCTTACCCCTGTTCATGTGGTAGGCATTCGTGTTATCATGTTTGGATAAATATGATTCATACAAATGACATTCCATTATAAATTAACCCTATAAACAATGCCTTAAAATCATTGCAAGTAGTTTCCACTATTTGTAACTTCCATTTTTTTATAAGTTTCCCAGCAATAGATAATTGAAAGAATTAAGTGGCTGGAAATGTTGTGGTATCATCTTGTGACAAAAAGTACACTTTTTCCAAAATTAAGAAAAAATCTAGCCCTACATAAACTTTTTAATTTTCAGGATATATATGGTATATTGTACTGCAAAATCATCATTACTATATATATATATATATACATAATTTTTTTTTTGTCGCAACGTGATACCACAACATTTCTAGCCACTTAATTCTTTCAATTATCTATTGCTGGGAAACTTATAAAAAAAATGTAAGTTAAAAATAGTGGAAACTACATGCAATGATTTTAAGACATTGTTTATAGGGTTAATTTATAATAGAACGTCATTTGTATGAATCATATTTATATATAGGGTGAGATAAAAACCTCAAACAAGTCAAACGCCATAAATAGCATCATAAATAGATAGAAATACCATCAAATTTTAGAATAAGTTTAGATTTGTTCGAATTGGTCACCTTTGGCACGAATTATGGCCTTCAAACGGCCAATGAAACCGTCACACGTTGCCCGAATGTTGCTCTGCTGTATTTTGGCCCATTCCCGGCGAAGCGCTTTCTTAAGGTGATCGACATTTTGGTATTTTTTAGTGCCGACCTTGCTTTGCAAAATACTCCAGACACAATAGTCCAACAGATTGGTACCCGGAGATTTTGGTGGCCATTGTGCGCTGGAAATGAAGCGAGGAACCTTTTTTGTAACTATTCTTGGGTGGCACATGCTGAGTGCGATGGTGCTGAGTCCTTTTGGAATGTCCAAGGTCTGCGGCCAAAATGTTTGCGTGCCCAAGGCACGATGACGATCATTTTGTTTGTTTACAAACTGCTGGACAACGAATGTTTTCTCATCGGAGGAAACTAAATTCGGCAATTCACCACTTTTGGCCACGCCAAGCAACTCTTTAGCTCGTTTGAGTCTATTTTATCTCTGTTGCGGTGTAAGTTCTTGCACTTTTTGGAATTTCAATGGCTTCACCCCGAGCTCATTTTTCAATATTTGCCGAATGGAATATTACGATATGTTCAGCTCACGAGCCATTTTTCGGCCACTGCGACGCGGGTTTCGATCAAGTCGCTTCTTTACTTTTCGAACCATTTCTGCTGATGTGCTGTTTTCTTTCGTCCACTTCCTTGACGTCGGGCTACGCTACCAGTACCACGGTAACGAGCGATCGTACGAGACACAAAAGATTTATTCACATTTAAATGCTGAAGTGCTCTAACTATAGCCACTTGCGATTTTCCAGCCAAATTTAAAGAATTTTTTTTTTTTCTAGAAAATTCTCACCTAAATGCTTTTGTACGCTTGTAAACAATATAATGAGCTGTCACTGGAATAATTTTAACAGCTGTCGGACGAGTGGCTTAGAAATGACAGCAGTCTGAAGTCTGGAACTAAATGTTAATTTAGACCGATTATTACAAATTCCAATAGAGTTCGGCCAAACAAATCAATCGGACTGTAAATGCGACCTATCAGTACATGACAACATGCATTAAACAACTCAATTCCACGAAGATTATCAAAAGGAATCATGCGCCTATCTAGTTTCCCCCTGCATGCCACAAACAAATAAACAACGACATCATTTCGAGAATTACCACTTGAATAACAAAATATTTTTAGTATAATCAGTTATGTATGTAATAAATTTCCACCGTGAATAACATCTAATGCTTCGGGATCTTCGAGTCTATTATACAAAAATTGTACAATTCTTATGTTCAATATTTATTTACTGGAGCCCATACAGAAAACTTTAAATTTATATTAAAAAGAATAAAAAAAAATCTTTCGAGACAAGTAGCACTTTATAGTTTCGTTTCTGTCTCTCTT